TGGTTTCAGACCTGACATTGGGACATCGACATTGGATGGGGGACTATTTGGGATCTATATCGAAGACATGGTGTTGACGACATCCTCATCCTCCCCTYYTCTTCGTCTGATCCCCCTCCTCCTCATCTGTGTATGATCTGAGCCTGGCGCATTCTTCCCGTGTGTAGCGCCAGGCCCCCTTCACACCTCGTGATGATGATGATGTATGTTTGGTCTGGATTGCGACATTGATTGGTCTGATCATTGGTATTTCAGTCTACCGCTGTGCTATCCTGTGCTATGTGAGAGAGGTTGGTTCTTGTTTTCTGGTCTGCACCATATTGGTATGCGACAGTTTGGTATCAGAGCAGACCTCTCAATCAGAGGGTCTGTCCAATCAAAGAGCCAGCTTGATTGATTGATTGATTGATTGATTGATTGATTGATTGATTGATTGATTGATTGATTGATTGAGTGATTGATTGATTGATTGAGCGAGTGAGTGAGTGAGTGAGTGAGTGGGTGGCTGGCTGGCTGGCTGGCTGGCTGGCTGGCTGGCTGGCTGGCTGGCTGGCTGGCTGCCTGCCTGCCTGCCTGGCTGCCTGGCTGCCTGGCTGCCTGGCTGCCTGCCTGGATGCCTGCCTGGCTGCCTGCCTGGCTGCCTGCCTGGCTGCCTGCCTGGCTGCCTGGCTGGCTGGCTGCCTGGCTGGCTGCCTGCCTGGCTGGCTGCCTGCCTGGCTGCCTGCCTGGCTGGCTGGCTGCCTGGCTGGCTGGCTGCCTGGCTGGCTGACTGCCTGGCTTACTGACTGACTGACTTACTGACTGACTGACTTATTGACTGACTTACTGACTGACTTACTGACTGACTTACTGACTGACTTACTTACTTACTGACTTACTGAATTACTTACTTACTTAATTACTTACTTATTTATTTATTTATTTATTTATTTATTGGTTAATCAAGTAGGAATTCGTCAACTTCCTGCAAAAAAAAATAAAAAAAATAAAAATTATCTGAAGTTACAACTCTGGAATTCCGCGAATTTCGCGATTCCGCGAAATCCGCTATTCCACGAAATCCGGAATTCCGCAAATTTCGTGATTCCGCGAAATACGGAATTCTGCAAGTTTCGTGATTCCGCGAAATCCGGTTTCCGAAATTTTCGAAATCCCGTAATCTTCGGAAATTTCGGGTTTCAGATCAGGGCATTTAGGTTAATTAATAATTAGGTTAGGGAGTTCGTCATTTCCTTGGAACCTTGATTTATTCCTTTCTGAAATTCGAACCTCCATTCTACGTCGCACAACTTCTCGTTTTTTTTTTTTTTTTCCAAAATTGCATTTTTGGAAGTTGGAAATTTTGTGAGCCTTGCCTAGAAGATCTCACTTATACTCCGAAAATGCCTCACTGATATCAGATCGACAGATATTCAAAAGGAAAAAAGAGGAA